TCCTCCGTTACCGAGGGACCGGCACCACCCCCCCCATCCATCTCGCCCCCCTCACCCTCCCTTCTCCATTCAGCCTGTCCCACAGGAGAGCAGGAGGAGGCCATTCAGCCCTCTCTCCCCAGCCTGTTCCACAGGAGAGCAGGAGGAGGACATTCAGCCCTCTCCCCAGCCTATCCCACGGGAGAGCAGGAGGAGGCCATTCAGCCATCTCCCCAGCCTGTCCCACAAGAACAGCAGGAGGCCATTCAGCACCCCCCCAGGAGCCTGGTACACAGAAACAGGAAGAGGCCATTCATCCCTTTCTCAAACCTGGTACACAGCAACAGGTGGTCATCATTCTGGATGTCTGGATTTATGACAAAAGCTGGTAACTTGGAGTTTGTGATGCCTCACCTTGCGGATGACCTGAGTCTCGTTGTCATCCTTCAGCAGGAAGACTGGAAAGGGAAAGTCTTCATACGACAGCTCATTACCATCCGGGTTCCACAAGGTCTTGTTACAGTTCACAAACTCAGGTCCATAGTCTGGGGAATAAACACCTGTAGGTGGGGGAAAGAGAGATGGAGGGAGAGGTATACAGAGGGAGCAGCAGAGAGAGGAACGAACAGAGAAACAGAGAGGGGAGCGCACCGTGCACAGTTCTGGTCCCCGTATCCTTCAGTTAGACCCACACTCGGAGCACCGTGCACAGTTCTGGACCCCATATCCCTCAGTTACACCCACACTCGGAGCACTGTGCACAGTTCTGGTCCCCGTATCCCTCAGTTAGACCCACACTCGGAGCACCGTGCACAGTTCTGGTACCTGTATCCCTCAGTTAGACCCACGCTTGCAGCACCGTGTAATTCAGGAGAAATGTTTTCCTGCAGGGAATGCTGGACGAGTCTCTACGCACCGTGTTGGTGGGTGAGTGGGGCTCAGTAGCTCTCTATGTGGTGGGGGGAGGAGTGGATTGAACAGGAGGCAGGCTGCCCCTGGACTCACCGGACCCGGTGTTGGGGCATTTCAGATGCGGCGAGAACTGAGCACCTTCTGGTCTGTTAGGAATCACCACAGCGACACCAGCGACCCGACCCTTCACCTTTAACCTCAGCATGACGTCCCTGGGAAAGAGCAGAGTTAGATTACAGGGGGGGGGGGGGCGGGGTGCTCAGTGCCAAGCGATCCTGAAAGCTGCCTGTATCTCCCTGAACCACCTCCTTCAATTCCCTCTCGATTGTAGGAGCAGGGGACGTCATTCAGTTCCCTACCTGCTCCCAACAGTCTACTCCGCCAATTTCAGAGGGTTGGTCAGTCAGCTCGCTGATGGGATATAAATTGGTCAGGTGGTAAACAGCAAGGAGGATAGCCTTACATTGCAGGAGGGTATAGATGGGCTGATGGGTGGCTAATGGAACCCAACGCTGACGGATGATGCATGTGGGCAGGACAAACAAGGAAAGGGAATACACAGTGAGCAGTAGGACCCTGTGAAGCACCGAGGATCAGGGGGACCATGCTGTGCACACTCGGGGGTCCCTAAGGCAGGAGGACAGGTGGATGAAGTGGTTTGGAAGGCACACAGTTTCCTTGCCTTTATTAGCCGAGGAATACGGTGCAAGATCGGAACTGGATAAAACGTTGGTTCGGCCGCAGCTACAGTATTGTGTGCGGTTCTGGAATCCACGTTACTGGGGGAATGGAGAGGGTGGGGAAGGGGATGTGATGGTCCTGGAGAGGGTGCAGAGGGGATTTACCAGGATGTTGCTGGGCCTGGAGAGTTTCAGTGATGGATAGAGACTGGACAGACTGGGGTTGTTTTCTTTAGAGCAGAGGAGATTGAGAGGGGTACGTGTGTAAAATTTTGAGGTGCATTCACAGGGTAGGCAGGATGAAACCTTTCCCCTTGATGGAGGATCAGTGACTGGGGGGGGGGGGGTGGGGGGGGGGGGGGGGGGGGGAGGTGGTGGAGAGAAATAGATTTAAGGTGAGGGGCAGGGGGTTTCGAGGGGATGTGAGGAAATCTGTTTCACTCAGAGGGTGGTGGGGAATCTAGAACTCACTGCCTGTAAGGCTGGGAGAAACAGACACCCTCATCCCACTGGAGAAGTGTTTAGATATGCACCAGCAATGCCAAGGTGGCACAAGATTAGAATAGTTCGGTGGTTGTCTTTGACTGGCCCAGAAGTGATGAGCCGAAGGGTCTTGTTCTGTGCTGCAGACAGCTATGATTCAATAAATTGTTACTGTGCTACCCCCAGACGGTCTGCACCAGCTTGAAATTTAACGATCGCAATGTTGAAGATTATCCAAGTTGAAGACATTGTTCCACATCTCAGTCCAAAATTGGCTGACCTCCACCCCGCCAAAAAATTATCCTGAATCTTTGAATTACAAAACCCCACCTCAAACCCAACAGCAGCTGGTTTTGGTCGGGGAGGAGGGCGAGAACAGCCTCTCAGTCACACCCCACTCTCAGGGGTATAGGATGCCTCAATGAAATTGCCCCTTAAAGTGCCCCAGACAGCCAGAGAAAGCTGGTCTGGGCCACAGAGAGAGTGACAGCCATTGTCAGAGAATTCTGTTGTGTTCGCTACTGTCCTTCAAGGAAGGGCACTACCATCTCCATCCAATCTGGCCCACACGTGACTCCAGACCCACAGGAACGTGCTCGATTGTGGAACGGCCGAGCGTGTCACGCTGTTCAATAAGTACCTAAGGATGGGTAATAAGTGCAGTTCTTACCAGAGACACCCACACCACGGGGATACACTGATCCCTACTCCGCTCCCTCTCCCGACCCGAGTGAGTAACACCACTCCGTGCCAGGCTGCACCGTGCTGGCCACTGATCGGGTCGTTCACAAACAGCTCTGTACTGTGCTGCAGTCTGTGTGCTCCCCTCAGGGCTGATACACCGCACTGTCCGAGGGTCAGTGCCGAGGGAGCGCCGCACTGTCCGAG